CCCCCCCCCTGTTTTTAGCGTTTCCAATTCCGTCGATCCGTAAGAAGACTGCTCTATTTTTGAGTGAGATTTTCCGAGCTGAATCTAGGAATTGAAAACTTCAATTTTTCGACTGGAATTTTTCAAACCGCAAGAAACCGCTTAAGTATAAACGCTTCGAAGTATTAAGTATTAAGTTTTTTTGTGGACAAACGCAACGAATATTCATCTAGACACACACAAGCGTGAAGGAGAGATTGGCAATGAAAACATTACGCATTGCATGATGACCAACGTTTGTTTGTGTCTACCCTTCCCCAAGAAGCATACAGCGATATCTCCCGTGTGGGCAAACAGTATCAGCAAGAACTGTTGGCAATCTCTCGTTGGTACCTAATAAAAACGCTGAGAAGAGGGTGCAGTTTGTTTCTCTTTGCTCCACCTTACCTCGAGGTGCTTGCCTAACTGTTGTAGATTTTATCGTGATGAGGGTTCAGCTTTCGCATTCCCTCGTTGACCGTTACGTAAAATTAATCCTTCTCCACTCCGAGTTGCAGGTAAAGAAATTCCACAGAGAAAAAACCGAACCCCCATCCTGTCACTACACTCGTTGGTTTGCGAGGTAAACCCTTATGTACACCAAATAGACCACCGAGGCGAAAGAGTCCCCCATAAGTTCGCCGTGATTTTGTGTTTTTTCCGTTGTTCTTGCAGATTCAAGACAAGCTCGTCTCCATCCCTAGAAGTATCGATTTCCCCCCTAATGATGTCTGTAGAAAAGCGCTACATATTAGAAGTTGAGCCGCCTTCTTACCCGAGCCCCTGCTTGATCATGTTCTCCTCCTTTCGCCGGTTGCCGGCGCAGACCAGCGTGACGGGGATGGTGATCTCCCGGAAAGTGGCCTTGATGTACTCCAAGGTCATCTCCAGCGGCTTGTCGACGGCTCCACCCACGCGAACCTTCCCCCCCCCAGCATCGACAACGACTAAAAGTTAAAGTGCAGTGCACCATAGAATCGAACAATAAGCCCGGTATCCAGCCGATCGGTTCTCCTCCCACTTGTAGTGCAAAGACTACTGATATAATGGACGCATCCCCGACTACTGCTGTGGAATCATGAATTCGAACGGGTATGCATCAGCGTACTTTTATGCTTGAACAAAAGGTATCCTACTGCTTGCTGTGTACCATGCACGAAATTTTTGAAAAACGAAAAAAACAAGCAGCAGCAGGGAAAAATTCAACAAAACCCTTCGCCTTGACATACGGGTATGATCTTCATGCAATTACTGTTTTTAACAAAACGTCCCGCAACAACACAGCACGAAAAAAACGGCGAAGGAAACGTGCAACAAATTGCGACCCACATTCCACACGTGAAGTGCGTACATTGTTGTTGTTGTTGTTGTTGTTGTTTCTCACATTGGCTCTATAGTCCACAAAAAATGGGGAGCCCGTGGTCTCAAAACCCGGCACATACGACGCCGCGGGGAAACATATGTACACCCCAACATAAGTTGCTTCCCACCCTACAAACAACAGTCAAATATAACACACACACGTGTTACATTTTCTATTCTACGAGAGGGGAGGGGAGGGAAGGGCAGGGAAGGGAATTCCGAGCGGTTGGCATTAGCATTTACGGTGCTGCTGTCATGTGATAGGGGTAGGGTGAAAGGCGTATTTGTGTCGAGAATGTGCGTGTGTTTGGCCGCTCTCATAGGAGGGTGACGTCAGGACCCGCACTATATATAGAGGGTCTGGCGTAGACCAAACCCGCACAATAGAGGCACTACGCGAATAGTGCGGCACCCGCACTATTTAGAGGTCGAAGTCGTGTCAAGCAAAAACACCCGCACTATACCGACCCACCCGCACTATATAACCCGCAATGTACCGGCACCTCGACTGTATGTTTCTTAGCCCTTATTGCATATTTTTCGTACGAAGTTGAGCCTATTATCTTACAGAATTCTTCTTAACTGCGGGCGCTATCTGTATTTGTACGCGAACGGAAGGGATGGCGAAAACCGTGAGACGCAGTACCTTCTTTCGAAGACCATTCCTTCGTGTACTAATGAAACTCAACAGAGCCGTAGAGCCAAGCCGCGGGGGGAGGTTCAGGGAACTCTTCGCGATATGTGGAAGGAAAAGTCATCAAAGTAGCTTTTTGGTCTCCGCTGGGACAGTGATATGTACTGGTGTTCCTCGGTGCGACGCTGAAATACGCTCGTTTTCTTTTTGTTTCACAAGAATGAGATAAATGCATGTCTACTTGGACTGTCCTCCTTCTTCCGCTGCCGGCTATGCAGTACAGTAGTTGGCCAAGTACAAACTGGTGTACTGTAGTTGTTTTCAACACGTCCCCGACTGCTGTACATCTCATTTCAACTATTGTAAATATGTTCGACGTCAACACACGGTTGCCAGTCGTCTCGGCGATGTGAGACTTTTCGTACCACCCCCTTCCTTAGCAAAAGACGCGTAGTTTGAGGTATAGCATGCCTCCATTGGCCCCGGGGATGGTAAGCTATCGTCCCCTGAATTTTAAGGACGCAACCCCGCTTTAAGGACGTTTTTTTCCAGTACAAGCCGTGTGCGTCCTTAATAGCGGGATCGACTGTACATCTACAAAAGGTGTTGAGAAGTCATCGCCATCATCTTTCGGGAATCCTTCAAGACACAGCAGGAGTCGACGGGGCAATGACCATTAGGTCATCACCGGTGCTACTGCGTACCAATGTTTAGGCATACATAATTGTTCTTGTACGCAGAAGCCGCTCGTGTCAGGTGTTCACGTTTGTAGTGAGATGAGGCACATGGCGAGTGCGTCAACGAATTTGTCTTGGAAGTTCCGGGATTTTCTTTGGAAGATATACTGCAGGCTACGAGAGTATATCTACCGAACGAATCGAAGTTCTTCGCGGCAAGGGCCAACTTACACAGCAAGTGATAGGCACCGCCACACGGCATAGCACGCTGCGGCACATAGAGACTACTCCCACGTGCACATGTTGACTAACCGCGAAGTGAACTCGCATCTAGTGTAGTGTTTCGACACAGAACCGACGCGTTTTGAGAGTAGCAAATCCCGGGGTTAGCTACAAAGAGAGTTGCGTCATGAAAAAAGCCCCTAAAAAGCCCCTCATATGCCGAGTGACAGGCAACCTTTTCCCTTCATCAACCCCACCAACGTCAAGCAGCATGGTTTCTGCCAATATTCCGACAGGCGTAATGTTCCAAATAGTCGACACAGAACCGACGCGTTTTGAGAGTAGCAAATCCTGAGGTTAGCTACAAAGAGAGTTGCATCACGAAAAAAGCCCCTCATATGCCGAGTGACAGGCAACCTTTTCCCTTCATCAACCCCACCAACGTCAAGCAGCATGGTTTCTGCCATTATTCCGACAGGCGTAATGTTCCAAATAGGAAAGCAGCAGCATCGGTGGGTATGATGTGCCGGAATCATGTCACCATTTCCACTGCACCTCGTCTCGACAGCGGCTGCCCATGATGCAGCGCATGTTGCATATACAGTAACGGGCACCGAAAACATGCGCTTGCTTGGTTGGGTCACCTTGTGCGAGGCACCATCGGTGATGCGTGGCACGGCCCCATGATTTCGCACGTAGTGTAGTTCGTTCGGCGAGATGAAGCCGTGGTCCTTAATTCGCCACACCGGCGGCTCGACGTTGAAAGGGTGCCGCCCGGTAAGCCGCACCAGCTCCGGGTGGCGAGGCACCCAGTCATCCGGGGTACCCTGTGCGATGCGCGCACCAAATCGCAGCAGCAGTTGAGCAACAGCTGTTCAGTATCTACAAGTTGCGGATTTATTACTGCCCTGACAAGACACAAGATTAGCGAGCGACTATTCCACAGACTGACAAGAGGGATCGTCAAGGACGGCGGTGCTTAGAAGAACTGGGGTGTAAATGACGTCGGTTCAGAGCCGGATGTTCTTCGACGTGATAGCGCCGAAGTACCCCGTCATGAGAGAGGTGCAACGTGCATAGTCTAGATACGATACGTAGTGCGCGTACATATAGCGAAGAATGTATCAGCTAAAATATTCAAAGGGGCAACCATACATCAAACGCAACTGCGGAGACAGAGACAGCGGACGCACCTTATCCCTCGCGTCAATCTCTGTCACAACTTCTGAAGGAGGAACGAACGTGTCCTTGTAGTAGTCATGCCCCTTGATGCTGGCCAGCGACGCGTCGGGCTTTTCTGGCTTGCTGGATTGGATCCCAGGTCCGGCTGGCGGCATTGTTCGTGACTGCTGCTGCAGCTCTGCTCGAACGTGCGATCTCTGCTACTAAAACGATCGACAGCGTTGTTATCTCCGTCCGTCTCGCTCTGCTGATTAAGCGATGCTTTGACGCAGTGGCCACGTCTCCAGGGGTTGCGTGGGGTGATCTACGCGCTGCGGGTGGATCAAGTTCTGCTCTCCGTCAAGCGGCAGTTCCAGTCTCGGAAGGGAGGGCGAACCTCACCGAAAGTGCCAGGAGGAGGTCATGTTGATTACGTCATCGGAATTACGCCTTGGGGTGTCTCCGTAGATCCGGTCGAATCAAATCTCGCCGCACCAGAGCTGCGTTTTGATTGGTTTGTTTGAATCTCGTCACAGTCTTCACTCGTCTGCGACGACCACAGCACCACAGCTCACAGCCCACCAGTGCAGCCCGTGTCCCCACCCGCTGACACGCACAGCAGTCGAGAGATGCTCTGCATACCTTACCTACCCCATGCACGCACACGCCCATACATTGACTGAGAGGTGGGCTGTAGACCCCGGCGAATCGTTACTTGTGATGTTGAATCACGAAAGAACGAAAGAACGTGTTGAAGTTCATCAACACGCCGACGCAGGGTTCCTTCGTCAGTACAGGGACGCCTACTGTTCGCGGGAGCATTGGCAAGGCAGCCGGACGGGCGACTCCCGAAACGACTGATGCTCGGCGAACTGGCAGGGGGGCAGAAGCGACGTAGGGGGGGACAAGAACAGAACTGGCCGAAGTGTGTGCTCGACGACCTGGAGGCATTCGGGGCCGACCACGGATCTACGAAAACCGATCCATGTTGTCTCGGGATCCCGCTACCGAAAGACACGGCACCGAAATTAAAGTGGACGGAAGCCGCGAAGGTGGAGGGGGGAGTACCCTGGCATGCGGCGGTGCTGCAGGGAGCTGAGAGGTTCATGATCTCCTGGCACGAGAAGGAAGAAGAGGCCAGCCGACGACGGGCGCTCAAACGAAACCACAAGCCACGCCACCAGTTTCTCGTGGAAAATCGAACCCTATCAGCGTCTTATTTTAGTGCTTGCTGTTGTGCTGCTGCTGTAGTCTTATTTGTTCATAGTTTCGGGCTTGAAGGCACAGCGTATCATGTCATAGAATAGCGCAGAGCATTCCCCTGACTGTATTTTTTTGGGGTGATGAAACACCGTCAAGTCGATAAATGTTGTTGTTGTTGTTTCTCACATTAGTAATATAGTCCACAAAACATGGGCGCGGGGAAACAAAACAAAAATAGGGTACAAACCACTCGGAAAAAGAAANTGATGAAACACCGTCAAGTCGATAAATGTTGTTGTTGTTGTTTCTCACATTAGTAATATAGTCCACAAAACATGGGCGCGGGGAAACAAAACAAAAATAGGGTACAAACCACTCGGAAAAAGAAAACAAAATGATAAAAAGCTGTCTAGGAAACCGTAGACATGCAGGTAGTTTTCTCTGACGCTATGATTCCATTGTTAATCTGTCTCTGACGCTTTTCTATGATAAAGATGGACTCGTTGTGTCATATATATATATATGCATCCCTCCTTTTTTTTTATTTCAGTGAGACCACTCCCTCCGTGTGCCCGCACATCAGCCGCATATACTCCGCACAAACTGAAAATAAATACGTTTGTAAACTGATGGAGATTGCATGTCCTACAACTAACAGGGTGCGACACACAAAACGCCCGACTAACCAACAGTACCCAAAACCTTCGTCTGCACCTTCCCAACATAACATATATGAGACACACAAGACAGCTACCAAACTGACTTGTTGAGCCTGTTATCCGCAGGGGAGATGTCCATATATATGTTGTTGTTGTTGTTGTTGACTTCACATTAAACCGTATGCCAGTTGCTAAATGCCAAAATCTAGCAAAGACTCTCGGCCCGTGGTCACGAAAGTGCTAGAGCCATCTGAGGATCTAAAGAACACGCATACGTAGCAAGAAAAAGGTGTACAAGAGTCCGAAGAGGTACTACTACACCTATATATATCCCTGCAGCACCGTACGCGTGCCCAAAACTGAACTACACGTCCGTCTCACCGTTCGACTACAGCAACGTCACCCCCTCTCTGTTTCACTCTGTACCAAAACGAATGATTGCCGACTACAGCATACTTGCTGTCTGAAGTGCTGTCTGTACAAAAACACCATGGTAGGCATGGAACAAGAAGCTGGCGGGGCACAAAGCTGCTGTCTGAAGTGCTGTCAGAATGTGTCT